CACACACACACACACACACACACACACGGAACTAAGACATGGCACAGACGTGAGAATTATCAAAGACATTACCACAGTTGTAATTGTATTCCACCTGCTCTAAAGGTAAAGTAGAAACATGGAAGATATGAAGAAGACCCAAACTGAATTTTTAGAAACGAAAGTTAAAATGTCTGAGATAAAAAATATTCTGGGTTAGAGGCAGAGTAGATATTGCAAGGAAAAGATTAAACAACTTGGAAGACATAGCAATAGAAACAATCCAAGATGAAACACAGACAGAAAGGAATTTAAAAAATAAACAAACCATTAATGAGCTGTGGGACATTTTTTTTTTAATATGCTTTTATTGATTTTTTTTTTTTTTTGAGAGAAAGAGAAACATCAATTGGCTGCTTCCTGCATGTCCCCCACTGGGTACCAAGCCCATAACCCAGGCATGTGCCCTGACCAGGAATAGAACCAACAACCTCTTGGCACATGGATGACACTCAACCAACTGAGACACACTGGAAACATGGGACATCTTCAAATGGTTTAACATACATGTAATTGGAATCTTCAAAGAAGAGAAGAAAATTAATTGGGCACAGAAAAAAGAAAAAGGCAGAAGAAAAAGTGGTCCCAAATGTTCCAAACTTAATGAAAACTATAAACTTACAGAACCAAGCTCAACTAACCCCTAGCACAAGAAATATGAAGAAAATCACAGCTAAGCACATTATAATTAAAGTGCCCAAAACTAGTGATAAAGAGAAATCTTAAACATAGCCAGAATGGGGAAAAACATGCTATGCAGAGAACCACAGATAAGCATAACCGCCTATTTCTTGCTGGTAACTTTCCAGTAACAAACAAACAAACAAACAAACAATCAAATAGCAAATCTTTCAACACAGAACTGTATACCAAATGAGAACAGCTTTCAAAAAGAAAGGTGAAATAGACCTTCGTAGATATGCAAAGAGTAAAGGTATTCATTTTTTGCTAGCCAACACTACAAGATAAGTTAAAGGGAATTTTTTTAGGCAGAAGAAAAAAGATAGATGGAAATGTGAATCTACACAAAAGAATGAAAAACATTGGAATTGTAACAAAATGGGCGCATATGTAAGACTTTTAATATTTTTTATCTCTTCAAAAGATGGCAGTTTAATAAAAAAGAAAAACAGTGCAATGAGTGACTTATAGCATATATAGAAATAAATATATGAATACAGCAATATACACATATACATATCTTAATTAATAATAGATAAACATGTAAACTGACTGTATCTCTGCTATGCCCACAGCCAATCAGAGTGAGTATGAAAATTATAAGGCCAAAGATGGTGGCTGCCCAGCTACTCCAGGCTCGGAGTGGTCAGGCAGGGCAGGACACCTGCTATGAGAGGGAGGGTGGGGAACAAAAGGATCTACAGGAGCAGAGTGCCACAGTGAAGACAAGACTGCAGATTCCGGAGTCTACAGAGAAGACAAAGATGGCAGACTCCAGGTGGAGTCTGCAGTGAAGCAGCAAAGATAAAGACAGCAGACTCCAGCCAGAGTCTGCAGCGAAGACAAAGATGGCAGACTCTAGCCTGAATCTGCAGCAAAGACAAAGGCAGACTCTGGCAGGAGCGAGGCCTGGGTCCTGGGTGCCAGAGGAAAACCAATGCTGGAAGCCAAGGGAAGGAAGGCCTATTGCACGAATCTCTTCATGCAACGGGCCTCTAGTTGCCACGTATAAAGAACTATGGGAAATATGAGGAAACTGTCTCACCAAAAAGAGAATATCAATAAAGAAACAGAATTTACATAAGAAAGAACATCAAATCTATATAAACTCTCCCCCCCCCCCAAAAAAAAACAAAAAAAAACCTGAAGGGATGGGAATTATTCCCAATTCATTCCATATGGCAAGTTTAGCCTGCTACCAAAACCAGACTAAAACATAACAAGGAAAAAAAACTACTCCTCATGAACAAAATGCAAAAAAATTTTAAATAATATTTTAGAAATCAAGCCAACTTATGCTAAGAATGAAAGTTGGTTTACTATTTAAATATCTATGTAATTTACCACATTAAAATATTAAAAAACTCATATGGGTATCTTAACATGCATAAAAAGCATTTGACAAAAATCCAACATCCATTCCTGATACAAACTCTTGGAAAACTAGAAAATGGAGGAACTACCGGAAAGGGCATTTATAAAAAAAACACACACACACACACACACAAAAAAAAACCAACTCTATAATAATTAATGGTAATAAAAAAGAGACTGGATGCTTTCCCCCTTATTTTCCATAAGGTCAGGAAGAAGAATGTCTACTCTCAAGGACTCAGTTATGTTAAAGAAATAGAGATGACTTTTTGGTGCACACTGGGCTATAAATAGTATTCACTAGCCTATGGTTTTCAAGTCATGAGAAAAGTATCTTAATTCCTCCTTATTCTAAGAAACTGCGAGTACTGGGAAAGCCCAAAGGCTTTAGATGAACTGGAGCATTTAGACATATCTGAACTTCTCATGAAAACGTAGTTTCAGAAGCTCCTCAAACACTGTAGTTCGAAAGGAGAAGGCAAGCTGCTCTGACAGCCTTGAGAAGCTGGGATGTTTGTGAGATTTTTTTGAACTTGAATCTGGAGAATATGGCAAGGATCTCTGTATCACTTGGAAACAGGTATCCAATGTAGTCAGAATGACTACAGTCTTTCATTCGCATATTAGATAAAAAAATTTAAAAACCTGTTCAAGCACACCAATAGTATTGTTCCCATGATGTATTAAATGTGGTCATTTTTTGTTGTTGTTCAAATAGAGTTTGTCCTTATTGTTCCTGTTTTGTTTTGTGGGTTTTTTAAAGATTTATTTTATTTTATTGAGTTTTAGAAAGAGAGGAAGAGAGAGAGAGAAAGAGAGAGAGAGAGAGAGAGAGAGAGAGGAGAGAGAGAGAGAGAGAGAGAGAGAGAGAGAGAGAGAGAGAGAGAGAGAGAGAGAGACATCATGTGAAAGCAAAACATGAATTGGCTACCTCGTGCACACCCCTTTTGGGTATCAAGCCCGAAAACTGGGCATGTGCCCTGATGGGGAAATGAACCCAAAACCTTTCAGTGCAGGGGATGACACTCAACCAACTAAGCCATACTGGCCAGGGCCAGTCTATTTTTTCATATGTATAATCTCTCATTGAGTATAATCTCCTCAGGCCAGTGACTGTATTATCAACTATTATGTACAATTTCAATTATGCAGAGACTGGAACTGAAAACATATCTGGCAGATAAAACAAAAACAAAACCAGAAAGAAAGACCTTGGATGTGTTTGGACAGATAAGAGGGAAAGCCTGGAGAGAAACACAGATGAGGAAATGCAGATGAGGAAAGAGAGGGTCTATGATCAAGATCTCAGATCAAGATCTCATGGAAAAGAGGGTTCAGAATACTGGTCTGCATCTCTCTCATAGCAGTGGGAAGACTCAGATGTGATAATGTCAGTGACTGTGCTCTGAAGCGATACAAGCTATATATAGTGAATAGATTTTCTCTGTCAAAAGAAAGATTTTAAACTTACAACAAAATGGTATGTTACCAAGGAGCCTGATATAGTTTTACACACACACACACACACACACACACACACACACACACACACACACTTGGGAATCAGGAGACATAGGTCTTGGTCTGAGGCTGACAAATGTGCCCTGTGCAATTTGCACAAGACCTTTCCTATTAGTTTTCTTGATTAAAAATAGGGGATACAGAAAGTATTTCTAAGGCATCTTCTAGGTCATGATTCGGTGACTCTTTTAAATGCCATTTCTTGCTTATTTCTTGTCTGTAGACTGAGATACTATCTTGTAAAATAATGAATGCTTTCATTTGATAATTCCTGTAAATCAGACTGTAATCTGAATCAGAATTTTTGAGCCGGAAGACATTATTTTTCAAAACGTCAAAGTGTTTAACAGGGTTAACTTGAAAAGTATTTCCCTGAAAGAAATGCAGCAGGGATTATCTGTGTGCACGTGTAAGCATGCACTCATGTGTTATGGCGGTGATGGAAGGGCACGACAGATAGCTAATTTGTTCTAGGCATGTATGAGGCATGTGATAGTTTGCTAATAATGTATGAGTATAAAGTTTGGGCTTGAAATTAGGTACAAAATAATCTGCAATGACAGAAATTGAGAAATATTTGGGGAATGTTTTGATATGATTTTTTTTTTAATTTAAAAGAGGGATTTTCTATTTATGTATTAAGTAATTCAGCAAGTAGCAAATAAAAATACAAAACTTCCTAGAGATCTTTTAAAATAAATACCTCAGAAAAGACTGCTCAAACACATTAGACATTTGTAGAAAATGTACAATGCTAGTGTTCTAGGTACTACCTTTTTTTCTTTAATGCCTAAAAATAGACATTTCATTTTTTTTAAACCACATAACCTACTTGTTTTCAGTTAATGGCATTTCAAAAGTTACTTAAACTAAAATAAATGGCGAAATGGGTCCACAGAAAGAAAACTTTAGTGTGATATTTTAACTTAATTTTATTTCTTACTACTTTTCATACACTTCCTCAATGTCCAACCATTATTCTCCTCAAAGCAGCTAAGCTCTTTTATTTTTAATTATTTATTTATTTATTTTGTTAATCCTCACCCAAGGATATTTTTTCATTGATTCTTAGAGAGAGTGGAAGAGAGACATCAATGTGAAAGAGACACATCGATTGGTTGCCTCCTGCACACACCCCGACATGGGTGGTGACTGAGACTTCAACCAGGTATGAGCCTTTGGACCCATGACCCTTCAGTCCATAGGCCAGTGCTCCATCCACTGAGATAAACAAGCCAGGGCAACAGCTAAATAAACTTTTAAAAATCAATGATCTGAAACTTAACAAGAGTGTGATGTTTTGAAAAGGAAAATGAGAAATTGTCCATAATAAAAAACAAGAACTATTTATCACTGTAAATTATTTAGGAAGAGAAGTTGCTTACCGTGTCATAGATTCTGAGCCCCATCTGAAATCCTGAGATTTGTCCTTGTTGACTGACTGTTGTAAAAGAAGAAGAAGAAAACAAACAATAAGTCAAAAATTAGAGAAGATGATCAGGTAATATTCACATGCTGAAAATCACCAACTTACTGAAGGAGGAGAGAGCATGCAAGGTTCTGAACACAACTAAACCAACAGTTCTCTTAAGCGCTCTGTAAGGAAAGCCAGCTTACAGGTGTGTGGCAAACAGAGACCTACAGCATCAGCCTAAATCCTATCTAATAAAAGAGTAATATGCAAATTAACCATCATTCCAAGACACAAGATGGCTGCTCCCATGTGGTCAAAAATGGTTGGCCCCATGTGAACACAAGATGGCCGCCACAAGATGGCCTGCAAGGGAGGGCAGTTCTGGGCAGTTCATGGAGACCAGGCCAGCAAGGGAGGGCAGTTGGGGGAAACCAGGTCTGCAGGGGAAGACAGTTGTGGGTGATCAGATAAGCAGGGAGGGTAGTTAGGGGTGAGGAGGCTGGCAGAGGAGGGCAGTTGGGTGAGACCAGGGCAGCAAGAGAGGGCAGTTGGTGGGGACCAACCCTGCAGTAGAAGACAGTTGGGGGGGGGGGGGGAATGGACCCAGGCCTGCAGGGGAGGGCAAGCAGTTAGGGGGGGACCAGGCCTTCAGGTGAGGACAGTTGGGAGGGACCAGGCCTGAAGGGGAGGGCAGTTGTGGGTAAGCAAGCCAGCAGGGAGGCAGTTAGGGGTGACTGGGCAGTTGGGGGAGACAGGCCAGTAGGGGAGGACAGCTGGGGGTGGGGCAGGCCTGCAGGGGAGGACAGTTGTGGGGGGACCCAGGCCTGCAGGGGAGGGCAGTTGGGGGAGCAGGCCTACAGGGGAGGGCAGTTGGGGGTGACCAGGCCAACAGGGGAGGGCAGTTAGGGGCAATCAGGCCATCTGGGGATCAGTTTGGCATCGATCAGGCTGGCAGGTAAGTGGTTAGGGGATGATCAAGGTGGCAGGCAGAAGCAGTTAGGAGCAATCAGGCAGAGGCAGGCAAGCGGTTGGGAGCCAGCAGTCCTGGATTGTGAGAGAGATGTCCAACTGCCCAATAGTCAGACATCCCTCAAGGGGTCCCAGACTGAAGAGGGTACAGGCTGGGCTGAGGGACACCCTCCTCCCCATGCACCAATTTCATGCACCAGGTCTCTAATTAATCCAATAATACTATATGATTTGCTACTTTAATTCATTGTATCTTGACTTTATAATCTCTTCAGTATATTCTGTATTTTCACAGCTTACTCACTTAACTATATGCAAAATATTGAATCAGACTTCTTTGAATTTTCTAATAAAGGGGTTCCAAGTATCTTTTATTAATGACACCACTGTGAGAAAGACAAATACAGAAGTGCTCTCAGTGGAGCCAAATTATACTCTGAGTGTTAGATGGTTCTTCAAGAATATGAGCATTAATTCCTACTGCAAGTATACTGTGAGAAAAGGGTGTTTGCTGTAAGACAGTTTTTTATAAGTCAACCCAATGTTGCCATAAAATAGATTGCAAATGTTTTCTATAGAAAATTCTATGTTATGAAAAGGGTCCATTTAAAATTCACATAAAAATGTAAATTGTTATTCTGTTCATATTTTGAATTACATACAAATTAAATCTATACTAATAAAAGCCTAGATGGCAACTCACTCTCTTGTTATCACAAGATGGCCACCCTCATGTTGTCACAAGATGGCTGCCACACGATAGCCACCACAAGATGGCTGACAGGAGAGGGCAGTTGTGGGCAATCAGGCCAGCAAGGGAGGGCAGTCAGGGGCTATCAGGACAGCAGGGGAGGGCAGTTGGGGGCAATTGGGCTGGCAAGGGAGGCCAGGAGGGGGAAATTGGGGCAGCAGGGGGCAGTTAGGTGTCAATCAGGCCAGCAGGGAGTGGTTAGGGGGTGATCAGACTGGCAGGCAGAAGCAGGTAGGGGAAATCAGGCAGGAAGGTGAGCGGTTAGGAGCCAGCAGTTCCAGATTGTGAGAGGGATGTCTGCCTGCCGGTTTAGGCCCCATCCCTCAGGCAGTCAGACATCGCTCAATGGGTCCCACATTGGAGAGTGTGCAGGCTGGGCTGAGGGACAACCACCCAGTGCACAAATTTCTACCATTTGTAAAATGTTTTACATGCTGTCATTTTTATATAAAACTAATGACAGAACTACTAAAACACATAGTTTTCAAATCTCTCCTGAGTCCCATAGAAGCCTTTAAGAGATCTGCAATTGGCTGCTGTACATATACTCAAATGTCAACTATCTCCAAAGTGAAGTTCTTATTTTCTTATACATAGAGGTGTTCAAATTGGAAACCTAGAATTCTCCTTTTCCTGCATGTGGATTTAGTTACCAAATCTTACATTCTCAATGTTTGGCTTGGATTACAACAATAGCCCTTCCTGTTCTTACTTCTTCCAGAACTGCTTTTTTCCTAGTCTTTTTCCTAGAGTTTCTAGAACTTTTGAAAGAACCAATTTGATGTCATCTTCCATGCTTTACATCAGTGGTTCCCGACCTTATTTTGGCCATGTCCCACATAAACATCTCTAAAATCTTGGTGTCCCCTCCCATGACATGAATATGATTTATGATTTGAATAATAAACCTTATTATTCAAAAGTGAACTTCTATTCATGTGGAGGAAGCCTAAAAGGCCATTAACTTGGTCTAAACAAGCTTCCAAAGAACAAGACATCCATGAAAGAGAAAAACAAAAGAACAAAAGAACAAAGTACTGAGGAAGAAACCACTAAGAAATTGTTAAAAAAAAATATATAATAATAATAATATAAAGTGATATGAAAAATAGCAAATAAAATTTCAAAACATATAATAGAGAACTGAAATGCATAAAAATGCCACAATATGTATTGATATCCTGTATATAAGGCTCCTAGGACCATAAGAAATACAAAAAAAATCACTGTTAATCACTCATTCTTGAATTGATCCCCTGAAAAATCAAATTGCCTCCCCTGTGCGGTATGTGTCCCAGGACAGGTACCACTGCTTTACATCCTTTGTTGTCTCCCTACTGACCTTTAGGATAAAACCCAGCTCTTAAACATGCCGTACAAGAATCTTCCTGATTCTGTCTACTTGTTGAGGTTCAACTCTGTTTTTAATTTTGCATCCTAAGCTTCGGCCATGATGGAATATCTGTGATGGCCCAAGTGTATAATCCCTTAGAATATATCTGCTCAGTTTGCCTCAAAGTCACTTTCTTCTACAAAGCTCAATTTAGAGATGAACTTCTCTGGAAAGCCTTTGCTGATTTCATTATGCTTAGGTCAGGGACCATTTCTATGTGTCTCCCTAGCATTTAATATAGAACTCTATAAAATATTTCTATTATACTGTAAACCTTCCTGATGTTTGACTATCTACCTGTTATTTTAAGAGAGAATTACAGAAATACAGAGAAGGCAGGCATGAGAAGCTGAGGCAATTAATGTTGAATATCTTCTCTTTAAGAAAGCATAGAAACAAAATCAAGTTGGAGTAAGAGCTTAAGAGCTTGAGAAAGGTGGACATTATTTTGACCAGCCAGGCACTATAAGGAATGGAATAGGGAGTTGGTCAGGAAGAACAATGAATGGTGAAGACCATGGGCCTCATTAAGGTTGGAATCAGAAATATGACACAGATAACCAATACAATTATGTGACTTTCTTCAGCAACGATAAAATTACATAGTAGAAGTGAGAACAATGGATAACTGGTTTACCTTCAGACCTGGGGACTGGTAAGACAGGTGTGCAAAGTCACACATACCAAGCACAATGTATTCATCTGGCATCAAACAGATAAATAATTGCTTCCATGCATTTATTTCCTGATGGTCTAAATGACCTGGTTTGAGAAGAGTGAAAACTGATTGCAGATAATCAAGAAGGTAGGAAACATCAGAATATAACCCCTCCCCCTTTTTTAAAAGAATGTTTTTATTGATTTTAGAAAGAGAAGAAAGGAGAGGGGGAGAGAGAGAAATATTGATTGGCAGCCTCCCACACACCCCTTACTAGGAATTGAGCCCACAACCTTGGCATATGCAATGAACAGGAATTGAACTGGTGACCTCTTAGTGCACGGGATGATTTTCAACCAACTTAGCCACACTAGGTAGACCCTCCCCTCATCCCCCCCCCCTTTTTTTTAATTCCTGCATACTGAAGAATCATTTGGATTACCCAACTTATCTTTTTTAAAAAATATATTTCATTGATTTTTTCCACAGAGGAAGAGAGAGGGATAGAGTTAGAAACATTGATGAGAATCACCGATCAGCTGCCTCTTGCACACCTGCTCCTGGGGATGTGCCCACAACCAAGGTACATGCCCTTGACCAGAATCGAACCTGGGACATTTCAGTCCTCAGGCCGACACTCTATCCACTGAGCCAAACCGGTTTCGGCCAACTTATCTTTTAGACAGAACTATTTCCTAGAGATGGGAGATTAGGGAAGGAACCTGAAGACACTGAAGGAGACCTGGCAGTTTTATGAAGTCCATTGTCACCCTCTGTGCATTGCTGAACATCTGCCTGTGTGCAACTCCATCATAGGGGTCAGGTCTGACCTCAGTACAGCTGCTGCTATTGGTTTACCCAATCCTTTATTCAGTAAACATTTATTTATACCTGCTTTGCACCTGATCCTGGTAATTCAATTTTGAACAAAACAGCACCTGTCCTCGAGGAACTTTTAGCCCTTCTATTTCTATCCAAAAAGAAAGAAAGGAACAGAAGAAAAAAGTCATATGCATGACCCATGCGAGAAGCATTAAGTGATGCTTTTCCTTTTGACCTAATTTCCTTTACCTAATCTTTTCCTTCTTCAATCTTCATTATACTTACAGTCTGTCAGCAGTCCAATCTAAATGATTCCTTATTCATCATCATCTCAGTATGTGTGCATGTGTGTCTGTCTGTCTATCTATCTATCTATTCATCCATCCATCCATCCATCCATCCATCCATCCATCCATCCATCCACCTACCTATTT